CTTGACAACGGAGCTGTCGCCGAGTCAATACTCAAATAGAATGTTAAATACCTGTTTTAAAAGAATTTAAGTTTCTAGAAGTACTAGCTCAAGTTATTATTAAATATTTTAAAACCCTTGATATAAAGTAAACGGCAAATTAATGGGGGATTTCATCAGCGATCATCGACACTAGTCCTCGACATCTTCTGACAGTGGACTCAGTAAAACCGTTCTCGATGCCCCAGTAGAGTTCGTTTGACGCCCAGATGGATCTCAGAATCCCGAACCATCATTAAGGTACAGCTGTAGAACATACGGTAGTTTAGCTTTATGGACAACCACTATCTCCCCGACCATTTTCCCATTTACGGCACAGAAGTCCATCCTGAAGCAGCAAGCTGTCCCATTGAGCCCAATAGATTTTCGTGGTCGTACTCATCGCTGAGATATCGCTCCACTTGGAGCAAATAGGAGCGTCAAGATCTTTCTAGAACTCTCCCACTAGCGCCATCTAGTAACGAACAGAAGAACTAAGCTTTCTAGAAAACTAAACACTCGAATTTTCTAATACTTATACTATGTATCTAATACTACTACTAAACACTCGATTTTAATAAAAGAAACATTAAATGTAATGCGAAGACACACTTTGTGATTTTCTTAGCGATTTAAGTAAAAAAAAATGTTTACTTGATACCGAATAAGTTTATAAAGAAACAGACAACACTAAAAATTAAAAAAATGTTCTTATTTACTTATTTTCAGACCTCTTAATGATTTTCATCACAAATATATTGTATATATGGACACAGGTAATCACCATCTTTATTATAGGTATAAATTTAAAGAGAGATGGCGCTGTTAACATCAATTCTAAAAATAAAAGAAAAATTTCGACGCGATTGATACATTATATAAAACATATCAGAACTTTTAAATCATGCCTGCCGAAAAAATCACTCTTACAGTAGCATAGGCAAAGAAGAAAGTTCGATCCTAGCCGAAACCAACGTAATAAGGTATAATAATCTTACGCTAAGTTTATTGTTACACAATGTCCTTAAATTTATAATTTAGTTTTTAATAAACGTTTATCAGTTTCTAGAGTTATTATATTAATACACAAAACAATGCCTCTCCGGTTTTTTCTTTAATTATTTGCACATTGTTAACAATTTTTTTGATTTTTCTATTTTAATGAATATCTGTGGTTTGGTTTATTTATTTTTTAATCTAATTGATATAAAATATAACTAGTGGTACAGAAAGAAACATTTGCCTTAACGATTTTCGAACAAGTTAACTTCCCGACTTTGAAATCTGTCAAATCTCGTTTTAAGTGGCGCCGCCCTGGTGGTATAAAAAGTCGTGGATGCCCTCATTGTTAATATATCTTTCAACATTTTATTTAGGTTACTCAACGGTAAAAAAAAACATTTTAAGCAAAATCTTCTTATACAAAATTTTATAAATAAATTTGTTTGATAAGAAGACAACCTGCCTTTATGTGTTACAGCACCACCATCTATCGATGACTTTGGTTAACTATTGTACTTTAGATATTAAGATTAATTATATTTTTTGTTTATATTCATTACGTTATTCTTTCTTATTTTTGTTTACTGCGTTTCAAATATAATTATACCGTTATCGAAAATTATTTTACATCATTTAATTATGATTTATGATATAAGACTAACAAGCACAACGCCGCCATTGAACAAATTCATACTTATAATTCATACCCATACTTCAGAATATCAATCATAACTTTTCATAGAATGAACCGATTTTAATGAAACAAAGACTAAATTAAACACAAAGATACGCTTTATAATTTCCTTCCTGATTATTTTGATATAAATCAGTACTTTATATGTGATACGTTAACAAACAAACAGACAGACAGACAGACGATTATAAAAATGATAGAAATATATTCAGTTACTTATTTATAGTCCCTCTCAATCAATTATTTATTATTACTTAAATAAGGGAAACGTCCAGGTCTTACGTTACCTCCACGAAATTTCGAAAATAAACGTCAAGTGTTAAAATAAAATAAAATAAAACGCGACAAAAAACGTAGAATTAATTTTTAATTTATTTTTATTTTATAATAAAACACCTTTCAAAACAATTAAATTTTTGGAAAATCGGCAGGTAATATGCAACTAGTTTTTATAAATATATAATATTATGCACAGACATTTTCATTTATCATTTTAATTTACGTGTTGACCTCATGCTAAAAGCTAGCACGAGACCAGTTCACTAACACGAGACTCATTTTTGGGAGGCGTCGTGAACTCATTACACACTTCAGTATACTTCATTGTTAATAACGATACGGTATCAATTAAGAACAATTGCATGAATAATAAAGTAATAAATCAAAGAAAATTTATTTAGTTGTAGTGTGTTGGAAGCAGACGTGGGAACGAGTGTAAGCTTCACTCGTCTGCTTCCAACTGAGCTGAAAATGCATCGCCAATGGATCGCATATTCAACTAGGACACGGTGACACATGCGCTGTAGAAGTTAGCTCCTGTGTATGATATAAAATTGTTTTTAATACTTCGTTTGAAATAGGACCGCTTCCTTTATTGGTGTCATAAAGCCGAAGTTACACTAATTATTTGGACGTTTTACTATGATATAACATTTCGAGATTTTCATTTCTTTTGGGATAGAGAATAATATCAATATAATTATATACAAAATATACAATACGTTCATATTTTTAACTTTAAACTGAGATAAGTATCGATGAATTGTCCTATAAATATACATATATCCTCTTCATTATTATACCCCATTGCAAGTCCACAGCTGAACATTACATTGGCTTTCTCAAAGAATTACACAAACCTCGATCCTGATTCACCTTATTCAAAAGTTAACATTAACATTATAAGACATAAAACCACTTTTTTCACACAATCACAATTATAATCGATTTAAAAAAATTTCAACAATCATTTATCTTTGCGCCAACGTGCTTTTTATATCATTTATATTTTCAATTTGATAGTAAGATACGATTTTATGCAAAAAACATCGGGTTCTTGATTCTTGAGCCACGCTGCAGCTATATTTTGGTTGTAGGCATGGATCAGCTCGACTGGGATGGGCCCACGCTCTCGAAGAATACCAGCGTAAAATAGTAATTTCATATAGTAGTATGTGTAGAGAACCGGAGACCTTTTTTACTGGAAAGAAGGCAATCTATCTCATGAAGATTGACAATGCATATGCATTTTGATTCTTAATCGAGGATACATAAAGATGTTTTTAGCCGCTAGTAGAACATACGCGTTTTTTGATTAAGGCATGCAATTTGATTCAAATAATACAGATACATACCAGTGCAGAATCACTTATAGTTTTTTTATAGAATAAGGGTGACAAACGAGTACACTGTCCACATGATGGTAAGCTGTGTGGATTAGGAATCAAAACGCAAATGCGTTGTCACCCCTGAATACTAAGACGGAATGGAAACAAGGTTCCATTAAAAAAAGGTTTCCGAATCTCTACACTCACCATACGAAACGCAGCTTAATACTGCTGTGCAGTATTAAGCTGCTAAAAAGTTAAAGTGTATCCGTATAAGAATATCGACTACTCCATATCGTCCCGTGGGTTTATTAAGAGATCACAAAGGGAACTGAAACAGCAATACCTTAGCAACCCAATTTTTTTTTAAAATCTGCGTTTAGCTTGCCAAGCATTGCAACAATGGCAACAGACCGTCCATCCCTAGGAGTCAACCTAAGAGGGAGGCCTATGGTCCGCAGTGGACTTTAATCGGCTATGATAAATGGAAAAATATTATCAGATAAGTTTCTGTTTAATTTATGCAATAACATATCATTTATACAATTATATACGTGTAGCTTAAAATGATTTGTTTGCTCATCATATTAATTTGGAGCAACATCCAAATCACTTCAAATTGGATTATAACTATCTAATAATCATTCTCATAACTGTACTATTATAGTTTATTACTGGCTGAATCGCACAGGTGTTTATTTTAATTATAATTCTCAATTATGCTAAGTATATTAGAATAACATATTATTATGAGCTTAAGTGTATGTTCTTCTATAAACAGGGTGACTCAATTTTGCACACGTATCAAGAAATAACATTAAAACAATAATTTTGGTAATAATATCTATACCTGTAAAAACACAATATAGACGCATGTTAAACTTTATGATGATAACACTGAGCAGCAATTAAAACCAACATAAAACAAAAAAAATGAAAAATTATTTATTTATAAACCTTTAGGGGTGGAATTTCTTCTCCAAATTATAATATAGGGACGTCCTTTAAGTATAATCTATTTAATAAAAAAAAGAATCATTAAAATCAGTTTCATATCTGCGAAGATATCGCGTACCATACAAATTTAAAAACACGCACTCGAAATGAGAAACTACTCCTTTTTGAAGTCGGTTAAAAAGAGAACATTTTGCGCGAACACATCTTAAACAAGGCTATGAAATTTAAATAGATTGCTATGTCCTTGAGCTGCCAAACTCGTGGACTGAAAGTGGTCAACGATTTTATTTCATCATGTTTTTTAATAGTCAATTAATTTACAAGATACACGTCGTTGCTTGACAAATTTGAAGTAACAAAAAAAGGTTATAGCAATATGGAACATCATCGTCATCATTACAGCCATTTACAGCCCATCACAAAATCACTGCTGAATATAGGCCTCCTCCAAGGAATGCCACATAGATCCTGCTTCTCTTATCAGATCGTCACTCCATCTAGTGTGGGAAAGCTCTATACTTACTTTACTTATCGGTATTAGGCTGACACTGAAACTTTCGTTATCAAGTTGTGGGTTTTTCGTGGTACAGCTTACTAATCCGTTATCTAATATGAAATTTAAATGTATCTATTTAAAATGTGGAATATAATCGTGAAAAAAAATTATAATGAAGAATATTATTTAAACAAAACCGTAGTGAATGACAAGAAGAATAAAAATGTCAGGTTGTAAATTTCCTGCAGTGGTGGAAAAAATGCGTTATATGTATGAGAGCCGTGCCCTTTATTAGACCTTTGGAAGAGTCGATTTTTTCATTATCCACTACCTTAAGGAGTAAATTCATGTTTTAAAATTAATGCAAAATAAAAACGATAACAAAAAAAAAACAATATAAAAATGCAACACCTACACTAGTTTTACAACATACATATTATGTCAACGATATCTTGATGTATAAAAACTAGAGGACATTATTATTATTATTTGGAGTATCTATATAGTTTTCTCATCTGGTTGGGATGTATAAATATATAATTATAAATGAAAATGAAAAGACAAATATACATAAATATCAATAAAATAAAATAAATATAAAAGACATAAAAAAAGCCCACAGAGCCCCCAAAACAGGAGAAAAAATAAACCATATTATTATATTGTGGATCAAGTTTTCTCATCTGTTGGTTCTTTAATTATAATGAAAATGAAAAGATAAATATACATAAATATCAATAACATAACATAAATAAGTAAAAGCCCAACCAGATGGAGCCCTCGGCAGGGGAGACCAAACGGCCGAGGGTTAGGGGGAAAGGGAAAGAAAACGGCGGACGATGCGGGCGGTATCGAGGAGCACCGCCTTCTGCATTTGAGCCTGGAGCGGTCCGCCACGTAGTCCCAGCCGCCTCAGATGACCCGAGAGGCTGACTGGGATTAGCCCATTTGCAGAGACGACTACAGGAATAATTTCGGTCGGCAGACCACCCCACATGTCGGTCACCTCGTGAGCCAGGTCCAGATATTTTTTTTGCTTGTCTGTTTCGGCTTTCACGAGGTTCTCGTCACACGGAATGGTAATGTCGACCGACTGCCGGCCATAGCAAATATAGGCTTATTCGCTAGAATAGTCCTATCTTATGATGTCCTCCCTAGAGCCTGGCGCGATCATTTTCGAGCACGGCTTCCGGCAAGTACTTGTAATACGGCAACTTCCGATCCACGAGACCGTATTTCAGAGCGAGCTCCTGGTGTAGAATTCTGGCTACTAGGTTGTGCCTGTGCAAGTACTCAGAGTTAGAAAGCGCCGAACAACCGGAGATGACATGCCTAAGTGACTCACCGGGATGGCGACAAGCTCGACAGATGTCGACGGTGCCATCCTTTAGGATGTATCTCCGATAGTTGTTGGTCTTAATAACCTGATCCTGTATTGCACAGACAAAACCCTCGGTTTCCCCGAAGAGGTCACCAAAGCGTAGCCAGTGGAGAGAGGCTACTGTGTCTACGAAAGGCTCATGTAGAGCCTTGTAGAACCTCCCGTGGAGCTCCTTCTCCTTCCATACGGTCTCCCGGTCGGAAATGGTCTGCACTGCCGGGTCTTGCCATTGCTCGTTGGCTAAGGATAGAGGGGTAAGTCCTTTATCACAAGAAATGACGTCTTTATAGAATGGATCATCCGATCTCGCCAGGAAGTAATCACGGAGGCTGCACACTTCGCGATTATGCATGGTGAGCGCGCTCAAGAAGCCACGACCACCATGCTTTCGCGGCAAGTACAGCCTCATTACCGACGATCTCGGATGATGCATCCTATGGGACGTCATGGTAGTGCGGACTTTTCCATCCAGGGCGTTAAGTTCAGTCTGAGTCCACCTGAGTATGCCAAAGGTATACATGAGGACAGGCATGACCCAGCCGTTATATGCGTGTGTCTTATTCACACCGGACAAAAGGCTGTTAAGCACTTTGGTCAAGCGTGCATAAAACACGTCGCAAACTGACTGTTTCATACCAGCCTCATCGATACCGATGTTCTGTGACATACCCAGGTATCGGTATGTTTCAGCCTCGGAAAGGGTCCTTAAGTTGACGGGCATAGATAAGTCTATACCCTCAGAGTTAGCAACCCTATCCCCTCTCAACATGGAGGACCGCACACTTATCCGTCCCCAGCTCCATTCTAATGGAATTGCTAAATTCACAAGTGATGTTTAGCAGTTCCATAAGATGGGAGCGACTGGAGGCGAATAATTTGAGGTCATCCATATAGAAAAGGTGGGTCACTTTTGTCCCTCCTTTCCGTAGCTGAAATCCCCTCCCGGAGCCCTCCAGTAAAGTACTGAGAGGGTTCAGAGAGAGGCAGAACCATATTGGACTCAGACAGTCGCCCTGGAAGATACCCCTTCTTATCCTTATGCGGCTTTCCGCAGCCATCATCCGCTCGCCCAGATGACAGAGGATCGTACTCCACTGCCCCATACACTGCTCGAGGAAGTCTCGAACTGTACAGTCTATCTTGTACAGCTCGAGGACTCTCTTTAGCCATGTATGGGGCACCGAGTCGAATGCCTTTCTGTAGTCTATCCAGGCGGCGGAGAAGTTCCGACGGTTGCGTTTCACCACTTTGCCAATGACCGCGTCAATGAGGAGTGGTTCCTTGGTTCCACGACCGCCGCCCCGACATCCATTTTGAGCGCGCGACATCACCTGATTTAAGTCCAGGTGACGAGCGATTCTCGCGCTCAAAATGGATGTTAGTGTCTTGTATATGGTCGGTAGACACGTGATGGGGCGGTATTTGCTCGGGTCTGTGGCACCCTGGCCTTTAGGAACCAAATGGGTGATCCCAGTAGTGAAGAGGCTCGGGAGCGACTTCTGGTTGAGAGCCTCTTGAAACTGTCGGGCGAGCACAGAGTGACACACCACGAACCCCTTCAGCCAGTAGTGATGCAGCCCGTCGAGCCCCGGACTTTTCCAGTTCGGGGCCCTACGGACCGCCTCAGCTACGTCATCCGGCGTTATGGTGACGGGGTCCATGGGCGTAATACCCGCACACTCACTCGCCACAACTTCCGTCCAAGGGCCCTCGTTGTGGTTTACGGGCTCTGACCACAGGCTGCGCCAGAACGCGACCGTGTCGGCCTGATTCGGTGCAGGGCCCGTTCCACTTACCATTGGTCGCTCCAATGATTTATAGAGCCTCTTCTGATCACTCTGGAAGAGACGATTCTGGATGAACCGTGTCGACCTCTCGGTATATCGCCGAATCCGCTTTCCCCAAGCAGCTATTCTCTGCTTCAGGTCGTCTATGCGCTCCGTCAGTTTTTGCATTATATCCGGCTGGGACAAACTAACATTTGTCCCAGCAAACGCCATCCTGACGGTGCGCACAATCCTTGGCCTGGTATTGCCTGACCTGAAGCATATCAGTCTGCCGATGAGGGCCCTAGTCTTTGCGATACGTTCTTCAATTCTTATTCTCCAGGCTGGGATAGCACTACTTTGTCCAGTAGCGCGTCCAGCTGTGGAAAGTTTGGCACCTATAATACGGCAGACTGCCAGTGCGGCGCCAAAGAGAATTGAGTCCGTATCGCAAAGGTCCCGGCTGGCTTCCAAATAGGTCACCAGCATTGGGTTTAGAGCACTCACGACAGCCCGATTCCGCTTGCTTAGGGCTAAGCGGGGAAGTCGCGGTCGATTTTCGAGAGTCGTACTGCGCGTTTCCACAATCGCCACTTCCAATGTACTCCTCATTTGCTCTATTTCCAGTTCCTGGGCGACTGTTCCATCATCATTTGAATCAACCACCACTGGGGTATTCACGGCGGCATCCACATGTGCGGTTTGCTCAGCAACTTGTGGCACCGCACCCTCAGCCGCAGCATTTTCATTTGATGAGGGAACAGCCTCACGTCGTAGCCGTTCGAGTTCGGCGCCATCAAATATATTTGAGCGCAAGATATACCGAACTCGGTCTGCCAGCTGGTGACGGTAACAGATGGCTCCAGCTCAGTAAAAAGTCGATGCATCCTTGCCCGATACGCAAAACCTCCAATTTCTCCCCCCTTTCGCCCTAAAATACGCCCGCAATGCGTTTGAATTCATATTGGTGGTCCAACGCATGCGGCGTACTCCACCAGTGGCGGGTGCCGATTGCTGGGCCCGCGAAGACCCTGCCGACACCAAGCCAGCTGGTGGGGATGATGGATGCGAGGGGCTGCTGGGTGGTCGTGCAGCACCTCGCGCTCGGCTGGCGGTTCGCATGCTGTCGCGTCCAGCGCCAGCTCCAGACGCGCCCTGACGACCTCCAGGCAGCGGCCCTTTGCGCAATGTTCTATGATTCCATCATCCATTTCAGGGCGTCATTTAGCGGGAGACGCCCAGACCCGGCGCCGTTTCATGGTGAGGCCATGTGCACAAGCGGGCCCTGGCACCATCAATTTTTGCCGAGGCACGGCGCTCACACCTCTTGGCAAGGTGCTGACTGACTGCGCGGACGTAGCGGTTTTGACACATAACCGTTACGTCAGCGGGCGATGGGGTCGTCACTTCCCTACGCCCTATTATTATTATTATTATTATAGTTTTCGAAGTAAAAGTATAATATAATATTTGCTTTTTCTTCAATTTTAATGATTTTAGGACCAAATACCCAAATAAAATACTCGTCATGATAATAAAAAGCGTAGCGTAGCGCAGAGTATATAACGTACTAGCTTACTTATGTACACTAAAACATAAAGTGACTAATCTTTTATAAATAGATAAAGTGTCTTGTGAAAGAAATTATATACTTAAAAAGAAAAAGGGAGTTTTCCTCTCGCGAAGAGGAGCCGCCTGGGGCGGTTAGCACTGGTAGAGCCGCGGATGTGCGCGAAAGCGTCCCGTGGTCCTACAGATATGCAACGAACCCCGAACATCATAAAATTTTAGTCAGTGCTGGTATAATCTTGCCTTACCCTCGAGAGGCAGATATACGTAGGCATTATGTTAGGTTACCTTCTCTATGACTAAGGTCCTACAATAGTTCCCATAAGCCCTTTGAGAGGATCCAGGATTTGAATTTAGAATACCACGAGGTCTTTCGACCATTATAGTCGCAGACGAGAACAATACTTACTTGACTTCACTATACTGTCTCTATGAATAAGTAACTAAGTTCATTTTAAGTTGTTATCGTTGGTGAAAAGCAAAATAATGGAAAACTGCGCATGTCAACGTGATAAATTAATGAATGTCTCGTGGTTTTGTTATACAAGACAGTATCAAATTATTTAAGCTGCCAAACACCAGAGAATGCGGTTAATATATTACTAATGTTTTGTTTTGTTTTGCAGAAGTAAACCAAAATTCAATTATATTAAATAAGGCATAGTTTAAATAAATTAGGTATATTATAATTATGAATATTTTTAGTGCAGTAGAATTGTATGAAAACTCACTTCTCCATCTCCTCACGAGAGTGTCGTAAGAGGTGATAGAGAGTAACTGAAACAGGGGATGGACAGCAGATGATGCTGCTCCTAATAACAGCGCAAAATAATTGAAAAAAACTGCGGTTAGAGTAGCAGGGTAGCCATCTCAGTATGCTATGCTGTGCTATGTTTTTTCTCAATTCCTTGCTTGAGTCACATTATTTGTTGGCAGTAGAGTTCCGAATCGATGGTTTAGCTCGGCGGCAAAAGCTCATAATAAATGACGCTCTTCTAATCTCACCATACACACAGCATCACCTTATTGCGTGTTAAACCGGTTTTCGCTACAGTCTGTGGAGCTTGAATACCATTTGACCATGATCTTTTTCGCACGTTTTTGTCGTAGTGGATCACCACCACTATCCATCACCTTTCGGTTTTTTACGTTTTAATAGAAAATCGCAAATGAGTACACGATTAATTAGGTTTCTTTCAGTGAGCTCATGTGGTCACATATCGAGTTTTTTTTTTGTATAGTCAGACTTTCTGAAATAAGTTAAAACTGTTTTTTGGTCAATCGTCAATTTCTCGGCTGTATTGATAATACTATGCCTATCTTACTCCACATTTTCAAAAATAGCATCGACTTTATCCGTATGAGAGCGATCAGAGCGAGCTGCATCTTTAACACAAAAATGCTCGGACATAAAAAGGCTTAAACCCACTGTGTCATGCACACATCACAAGAGTAGCCTTACTGACACAACATTAGGGCCATAAACATTAAAAATTTTGAGGCTTGATGCTACATTTTTTTTAAACAAAAAAAAAGCAGCCTAATTTTTTGTAATAAAACTTCATAATGAGAGAAAAACAATTGAAAAATGGCGACAAAGTGTTTTTTTTTTGTTTTTTAATTTACTTTTTCTTAATGTCCTATATGTATTGAAACCAGCTAAATACAAGCAGTGCAGCCAAAGAGATTTTTCTTAAATTTTATGCAAACAAAGTACGAAAAAACTTTTTCACTGACCTATTACTTATACGGTAGGCTCTAGAGACTAATATTTTGGAAAGAAAAATTGTGAAAGATGGTTAAAAAATGAATTCATACTTTTTGTTTACAATTTAAAATATTTGTTTAATATACTAAGTATGAAAAATATATACAACAATTTAGAGGTGTAATTAATGAAAGGCACTTTAGGTTTCGACTTTTAAAGTATTTGAAAGCGGTTTTCATTATCATATTCATGGAAAATAACACCTCTGTAGATGAAACCTTTGAACAAGTAATTACTTCATATACCTTTACATTTTCTGGCATAATTAAACTTTCAGTCAATACTTTCAGCAAAAAAGCAATTGATTTACGACCTTATTATGCTATAAAATGTTTCGGACGAAAAAGAGATCAAAATTTCAATATATTACAAAATGTATTTAAATTTTGTTTTAAAATACTTATTACGTTGCATTGATATTGGAAAAAACTTCGGTGGGTAGATACTAGATATCCATAAAACTGTATTTGTCCATAAAATTAATTCTGTATGTTATTTCACGTACGAATAATAAAGTTTCTTGTACGTATTCAATAATTTCAATATTTATTTACTATGATTACAAACACCGTTTATATTACGTGGTAGGCCGCGCTAGAGCTTTATTTTGATTGTAGCATGAATGGATCAACTCGGCCGGTGAACGATCGTGGTCTTACAGAATACCAGTGTAAAATAGCAACTTAATTCTGCTAAGTTTCTTATGATGAGTGTAAAGAACTGGAGAATACTTTTACTGAAAACGAGGCATTCTGTTTTTTTTCCAAGGTTCTGCAAACGCATCTGCATATTGTTTCTTAATCAAAGATACCATAAGGTAGACCATAAGGTAAGACCATAAGGTAAGACCATAAGGTAGACAGTGTGCTCGTTAGTCGCTCTTATTCTTTAAAAAAATAACAGAAGTCTTGTGTCATTTTCACTTACATTTAGTCCAGTCCTGTGTCATATGAAGAGGTGCGCTAAAATTGTAATTTAATAACCGCTACAATTGTTACGTAACAGCTAGGACATAATACCGAGAATTTCCTAGAATTGCCAGGAATCGTTAGTCATCAGTGGATGTCTATTGGTCACGGCATCCACTTACTTAGGTGTACTGTGTGCTCGTTTGACACCCAGTGCTATAAAAATACAGTTCTCCTTTACTGAATTTATCAAACTTCTTGATCGACAAACATTGAATATTTTATTTAAAGCTGTTCTAACAACTTATAATGTTGCCTCATAAATGGATTACTAATTCAGTAGAGTCTAGCAAGTAGCATTACAAGCTTGTTATTCTTAATATTTAAAGTATGAATATTTTTAGTTGGTCTTCTCAAAGTTATTTATATTATTTTACGATCAATACATTTTCATATATATGTATAATGTGAGGCTGAAGTTTACATTATATTACAATAGATGTTAAAATATGAAGTTGTCGTTTTAATGCTTAATTGCTCATTAAAATATATTCACATTATAATATTTTCCGTACACGAGATAAATTCGGATAATTTTAAGAATGAGTTACCGTATCGACCTGGAAAATATTATCATTATACTCTTTCAAAACCTCACATAATCTGACTCATTAAATGGAGATGACGACTGCATTTGTGTATATTTTTATACAGTTATTATGTAGCTTTAAAAAAATGTGCAGAGCTTTAAAGCTTTTAGCACTTACACCAATTAATTACATTTAATTGGTGTAAGTGGTCCCATGTTGCTTTACTCTCTATTTCCAAACTATCTATTAAAAGTTTAATACAGCTTGCAGCTCAGTATCTTTAAAGCTTATAAAACTTTGCATCGCTTTATACAGAATGCTACAGGCGAGTACGTGTTATGTTAGTTAGCTACCATTAAATATATATTTCCTTTTTTTCTTCAGAAAACTGCATCATTTTAAATAAACACATTGCACTCTGTTATCTAATTTCATCAAGGGATAAAACAAAAATTAAAACATAATCGGATTGAAAGTACTTTTTAATTCTTTTAAATAATTAATAGTCGGTGTTTCTTTCTACTGAGTTGAGGTCCTGGGTTTTATCCTAATTTTGTAGCTATTTGTATTATATTTGAGTAAATTTAGATTTAAAAAAAGTTAGTAACATGAAAAATATCTGTTTTTATAATTTATTTTACATTTATTAAATGGTTTTTATAACGTAAGGACGGGCAAACAAGCCATTTGATGGCGAGAAACCCATGAATGATAATGGAAACTAATTTTGAAGAAAGAAGGTCACAGGACCAGAAGTTGGTTGGTTGGTTTACTTTTTGAGCCTCTGAAAATCAACTGAAAGATAATTATTGCACAAAAACAAAATCATTTAAAAACAATTGGACATATTGATAAGTGTTATGTAAATATGAAAATGAATCGTTATTTAAGCGTGTACCTTGCAGAGTTTTCATTACGAAACGGTGTAAAGGTTATCAAATGAATTGGCTTATTATGTTTTAAAGTCATGTTGAAAAATCATTATAAAATTTGTTTTTAATTTTTTTCTTTTAAAAATAAAACCATACAGTTCATTCACTCATGGCCGCTAGCGCATATTAACATATGTTCGAGAATGTACGTACTTTTTAATTTAAAATTACTCCGCTTTAAAACTAATTTTCTGTCTCTCTTAGTCAGTATTCCTACCGGTCTAACATAATTCATTTACATTCGAGTTTAGTAAGAGACTACTATAAAATTACACAAATATAATATAGCTTCAAACATATAGAGGTATAAATGTCGCAGCCAATTAGCTTAATAAGTATTTCTGTTAACAGCCTGATCTATTTACAAAACGGCGTCTTTCAAGCAGCGGCCCAAATGATATTCATCCGATGCTATTAATAACATCAATGCACCTTTTTCGTAATATACCTAAGCAGCAGTATAATTTGCTCCTGGAGTGGCCCTTGAACAACTCTAAAGCCTCATACATTTAAATAATACAGCACATAGCGCATAATAACGTACAGACCAGCGACATTAAATAGAATGGGCGCAATATTAATTTCATAATATATCATTTCAAACTAGTGACGGGGAGCAGTGTTTAAGATGCGAGATGTCTGGTACTACGATCACCTATCCAACTGTCAAGCGTGGAGATAATAGCAACGTACCTACAATGGAAGAAAACTATGTCTATCAGTAGCCTGATGAAGCAAAAGAAGGACAAAAAGATATTCTTACAGTAATTTTCTAATTATAGGATAAATAATGTATTCGTATTTTGTGATTCATTCCTAGATTTATAAGATTATTTCCTAAATTGTTGGCGTGAAATATAAATGCTCCAGTCCTATTCTACAGTTATTATGTTTAGTTAATTCTTATAATATCAGGAAAATGTAACGAGATTAAACATATTCTGTTGCCATTTCTACATATTATAATTTATCTGTTGTGTTTATCTTTTTTAAGTTACCTCGACACTAGGCCAGGCTGTATCATGAAACGTTTTACATACATAAATCGCACATGAATAAATATCCAGAATCGAAACAATTATTTGTATACCATAAAAATACATTTTTCAATTGGGTTTTGAACTCAAATCCAGCAGCACTACAGAAAAATGCTTAGTCATCACTACCAAGTCGATGGTACAAA